CTCATCTCTATGTATAAGCTATGTATTCTCCATTTCTTTTGCCTTAGTGAAATATTTGATTGATTCCCTCCCGTGGACGTAGATCCAGTTGGATCGAACCACGTAAACGATCTGTGTTTGCTTGTGTTCTTTTCGTCTCATTTCTATGCCAGGAAGTACATATCTCACAACATAGTTAACATCACATTCAAGCCAGGAAGATTGAATGAAGGATGAAGACTCTTGAAGTCTACTAAAAAATTAGAGAAAAGATTTTGACACCCGAGCAATACTTAAAATGAACAATAAGCAAAAAAGTAATACAATCTGCAGCAATAAATTTTAATATTTAAAGGATAAAATTCAACTAGAGGTATCCAGCAAGAAAAGTACCTACCATCAACCAATATAATGTCTCCAACATCCACATCGTTCACAAAATCATCATAATTCACGCTAACAGTATTCTCAGCGCTGGCTTCCCTTTGGATGGTAAAATTGAATTCTTGGCCTTTTTCAAGTAAAATAGGCTGGACTACATCTCCACTTCTAACTTCAGGTCCCTAAATGAAGTTTTACGGCTTTAAACATCAATCATATAACATTTTTTTATCAATTTCATAACCAGCATAAAATATCTTTTAATCATTCAATGTAGCATGTTAACAGTAGATTATTTATCTCTTAATTTAAGGAAAAAAAATTAAGCAATGGGAGATCATGCAAAATGTATAGGTACCTTGGTGTCCAGCATAATGGCAATAACATTATCTCTGTTATGGGAATTATATTCCCTAACCAAATCAATAGTTTTTTTGTGAGATTTATGATCTCCATGTGACATATTCAGCCGTGATTCCTGCTTGAGCGAGCTTCCATATCATGTCACGTGAGTTTGTAGAAGGCCCAATTGTGCACACAATTTTTGTCTTCCTTCGAGGATTTGGAAGCACATCCTTGTCTCTCATTTTATCATCCCCTGATTGGAGCCCGTAGGAGGCATTGTTTTTCTCCTAATAGAATTTAAAATAATCAGAAATAGTAACAAAATCAAAGAGAGAATGTTAGATTGATTTATTTATATATTTTACAGCTAAAAAGTAACTATGATGAGAAAACCCAAACACAGAAATCAGCTTGTTGGAATCAAAAGATGGCATCGCTTTTCAAGACCAAGAAAGAACGTGGAACAAAATAAATTCAACGGCATTTTCTGCATTAATTAAGCATAATGCAACTATTAAAAGAATTTTCCAATTCCTCATAAGCACTACTCAATTCAACAAAATTCCCGCTAAAAACAGCATAAAATCCAAATCGACCCGACCATTAATGCATTCAAGCGACAAAGAACAGACAAATATAAATAAGAAATCCGCATGACCAACTTCGACTTGAAACAATCCACAAATCAATATCCAATCCAACCAACCACCCCAAAACTCGAGAAACAAACAATTCGATTCTCCAAAACCCGAAAAAGAATTTGAATTATCACCAGATTCTCCACACCATTGATTGCTACCAAGCCAATCCGATCGCGCTCAATCACCGCCTCCGATCTCACCACCAGACCTCTCCGCGCTAATGAAGACGGACGCGACCTCCCTCCAGCCAAGGGAATTGCGCAGCTCGCATGCCGGAGAGAAGCCAAGCCTACATAATCCCCTCTTACCATCGATATTTCCATCTTCAAACCACCTATCTCCACCGATGCCGCCATCATAATCCCCACAAAAGCGAAACACAAAGGCGGGAAAGAAAAGTAAACTAAACAGAAAGAAGAAAGAACAATGGCGAGATTTATATAGGGTTCATGGCGGCTTAGGGCCGACGCGTTCCTGGGGACGAGAACCGCGATTTTCTTCAATTCCGACTTTCATGGAACTTCGCCCGATTTCCTCAAAAGAATATTCTTTCTTTAGCGTTACTATACATGACGGTTTGATCAGCTGTATCGGACGGCTGATATTTAATTAATGTGAAAAACGTGTTACGTTACATGCTACAGCGCTATTTTTGGAATTTGAGATGCCGTACGAGATTGAGATGATCTTGTCCAAGAGAGGTTGTGCAGGAAAGGTGGTTGATCTGCTTTAGATAGCCGTCGATATTGCTCGTACTGATGGTCAGCACGACTATTGGAAAAGATTGTATTCCAAGAAAACTGAATATAATAATGTGAGCTCATGTCGGCTGCCTAACCAGTGTGGGAACTATTGGTGAACGGGTTACTTGACTTGTGTGTTCCCATGGGCCTAAAATAAGTCTAAAATGTTATTAAACAAAGACCTCCATTGATACTACCCAAAAAGAAAAAAAAAATCCACTTTTGATAAAAGTTTCACTTTACTTGATGGACTTATATTTAAAATACATATTAACGACTAATTTTTGATCTAATTATTACTTAATTATTATCGATGCGTAATAAAAAAAAATTATCACTTGACATGAATCTCAAGTCATTTTTTAAACAAAAAGTGTTGTTATTCAGATTAAAATTTATCCAGAGCTCCGATTTCAATAAATTTATAGTCAAATGGATTAGATCATCCAATAAGTCAAATCAAGTATGGATTAAGCTATTAAATTACATTCAGAGAATCTGAATGGTTATTTATGGAATCAAATGAATTCCAAAATTTAAGTGCTTATAGTTAAATCGAGTATTTTGATGAGAGGAACCATCGTGCCCAATATCACTTGATTTTGAGGCCAATAAGGTCATCTGATCATCAATAAATTTTTTATCATCAAGAGGAACCAATGTGATTCGTTCAATTGGGTGTTTGCGGCAATGTTTGGTCAAATGACAAAAATACTTGTTATATTGGGCCCATAAATAGACATCCTCTCGTTTTCACTTGAAAAAAAAGGAGCAAATTGAAGTAGCACAACTTCAATGTTATTATGAACTGAAGACCTGCCGATA